CTGCCGACACTCACGTTTGGCATGCAAGACCTTGAACGAATCGGAGACCGTTTGCCCCTGAACGATGACTTCGGGGACGGGGTCGAGCGGGGATCGGCATGGACAGGGCCGGGCTTGGTTCCCACTGCTCCCCGACCCATCTATCAAACTTGTCCTCCCTGACGCCATCTCTTCTGCACGCGGCCTGACCATGAAACATCTGAACTCGCCGGCGCAACTCGAGCCAATAATCATCTGGCATTTACTGAGGCTGGGTGAGCAGCGTAGCATGAGGAACTCTTGCCCCCTCAGCCTCTAGCTCTCCAAACTGACGCGCCAAACGCTGGTTGGGATCTGTCCCACTATCATCTCTCAGAGCAGGGCACCTAATCAGCACGGTGATGAACGCTCCCCACAACTCAGCCTGGCCATTCTATGTGCGGTCACGACCTGGAGACGACCTCGCTCTGGTCCAGACACTACCGAAACCCAGGGCCCTTCCCGTGACCTGGGCCCAATCCCCCGTGAGGAATGCGAGAGGCGCCGCGCAGAGTTTCATCGAGCTTGGTGACCTTCTGACCAAAGCTGAGATTGACTTTCGCGGTGGCCCTTGCGCTGTCCCAGTGCAAAAAAGGAGCCTCTAAATCAGAGAGACAACAGGGGCCGTGCTGCTGCTGGAAATCTTCTGCCACTGCTGGCCAGAAATAAGATGCGGCCCTAACGCCGCAACCTCTTCCCTGGCGGACTCGGGTGGAGGAAGCATCGAGCCAGACTCTTCATGCAGCGCCGTATCGAGCCTCGCCCTAGGCTTCAGTCCCATCGCAGTCTTGAGCTGGGCGGTCTTAGAATTCGGGTCGGCCTCCTTGACTGCCCGAGCAACTGAACTGGCATCTTTAGGTGCTCGCAACTTCTGTTGCCACAAATCAACTCGTTAAGCCTGAAACGACAACTCCAAACTACCGCGGGCATTCCAGGGGGCCTCGCACCCAATATTACACTTAACCTGCCGGGCAAACCCTCTGGACATGGGCGCGCCATTTATCAAAGAGGCCAATCCCTCGTCGCAAGTTACGCGACAGCTCGGCACTCCCAAATCAGCTTCAAGGAGCGGTAATCTCACGAAACTGTTCTGGCAGAGTGTTCCAGTCTCCCAATGTGGCCCACGGGGCCGCGAGGCGATTGGTAAAAGTAGCAGGGGACCTCTTCTTGTCTTCCCCTCGCACTCCGTGCTTAGAGAGGGGGGAGGGTATGCCGAGATCTGTGTGCTCTTGCCTTGCACGTGCCAGACGAAGGGTCCTGGCCCCGTATGACTCCTTCACTAATGTGCAACAGGGGTGTTGCGAAGGCAACCAACTGCTCCTCATCGCCTTACAGGCGTGTGTCGACTACTACAACTGTACTGTGCGACTTCTGAATGGAAAACATCCCTGGCCTGACGTCCCTATTTGGTTATGCTCGCGAGAACCAGAACACGGATTGGAGACGCGTCTGTAAACAAACCCTCCCGTTGACCCATCCACCAATCTGTCAGCAAGGGCGCCACCATAGAGATGAGCGGAACCACGGAACCGATTCCTGTTTCCAAGTGACCCTGCGTCTCTGGAAACAAACTTGGGCAATGTGCTGGAAATAAGCTCGACCGCCGCGTCTCCCACCAAACCGGCGGCGCGACCGCCACCAGCCAGATGGGCAGCCGCCTCCTGGTTCCGAGCCGCTGTCAGCACGAACGCCGCCAGTTGCTCGAGGCCTGCCAACTTCCATCGGCTCGTTGGACACGCTCAGAAATTCGAGGTTGGGGGGTTGGGGGTGTGCTCGTCGAACTCTGCCGCCAACGCCTCAAAGTGGTTGAGACCGCTCCTTGCGGTGATGGGAGAAACCTTCACTGGTCTGGTCCAGACTCGGAAACGAACCTCTCCTTGCGGTGATGGGAGAAACCCGAATCGAATGTGATGACATCTGCTGAGGCCCACCTGCATGCCGCGACGGGCGCCAGCGGGGGCGCTGGCCACCTCCCTCACGGGAGCCCCGCGAGAAGCCGCCGAAGCGTGGCTCCTCCCGACTGGATTGCGATCGCAATCGGGGCTCAGACCGACGGGGGCAAGGGGCCACCTCCCTCGCGGGGGCCCCGCGAGCGGCTGCGCTTTCGCCGCTCCCGACTTGAGCCTGCCCGCAGTCGAGGCCAGGGCCGGCGAGGGCATCGGCCGCCTCCCTCACGGGGGCCCCGCGAACGGCTGCCTCCAGGCAGCCGCTCCCGACTCCCGACCGGCGTGCCCTCGCCAGTCGGGGTCGTGCAGTCCGTCGCGAAATGCCAAGCCAGCCGCTCCTCGACCCGCGCTACCAGCAGGGGTATCGGAAGGGGCCCTGGGACGCACGACTAAATACACACAGATTACAGGATTCCCAATATTTTCAAATGTTTTCTGGGTTTCTGTCTTCCCCCCCACTTCCCATATTTTCCCATATTTCCCGGGGGATCGACGATTAATTGTGTCTGCGTGTTTTTTCCCCTCCTAGGTATCGGCCACTCCCTCGGGGAGCCCTGCGAGGGAACGCTACGCCTACGTTTAAGTCGGGCCTGTCACCCTACAGCTTTTTTTTGTGCGAATAAATAAAAATAGGTTAAAGATACTCCAAAATGGCAAAACAAATGCTCAAAACATCGTCCCCAATTGACTATGCTTGAATTTCCCCCCTGTAGAGGGACAGGCCCGACTTAACGCCACGCCTACGTCGCATCCTCTCGCGGCTGGAGGCGCCCCACAGTCGGGGGCGCAGCCGCCCCCTCCGCCGAAGGAGCTGCACCTGACGAGCCAGCTGCTGGCGCTGCTAGCGCTGGGGCGGCTGGTTCGCCTGTTTTTCCTTGCCGTTTTAGGCCAGCGTTAAGTCGGGCCTGTCCCCCTACAGGGGGTTTTTCGACGAACAAAAATACATTCCCAAATAGTCAAACAATAATAAAAAATAGTCCCCAGACTATTGTTTTGGTTATTTTTTTGAATATTCTCTCTGTAGAGGGACAGGCCCGACTTAATGCTAGCGCTGGGGCGGTTGGTTCGCCTGCTTTTCCTTGCCGTTTTAGGCCAGCCTCTCGACCTGCATGGAATGGGCGTCTGGGACTTCTTTGGCTTGTTTTTTTTCAGCGTAGCCGAAGAATTATTTCGCCATTGTAGCACTCTTTTTGGATGGTCCCTTCTGCCTGCGATCCGCTTCGCCTACGTCTGCTTGCTGCGCAACCGCATCCCCGGGAAAGGTGAACGCGTCGCCATGTCGATAACCAACTTGTCGCATTCTCCTGGCAAGGGCGAACTGGGATCCAGCTTCGGGCACCCCTCAGGCTTTGCTGCAGGCTGCTGCTGGTACGGTGATGCGTGAAGCTTGGCGACCTATCCCTCGTGCTTGATCGTGTTTTCATCCAACTCGAAATTCAGCTGAACGACCCAATCTGCTCCTGCATCGTTTGTTCTTGGCGAAGTATATCGTCCGATGCTTTTGAAGTGTCTCGGCTGGCGGTTCCTTTCACGTGCAACCTCAACGATCTGGAGCTCCAACAACCCGGGCTTGGGAGGTGCCGGCTCCTTGGCCAGTCGGGCCGACCGATCCCTGCAACTTTTCCCCAACTCGCTTCCCCCGTGTTGGCTGCCAGGACCTGGATATTGTTGACCTCTTCAGCTCCCAACTGGTCGAGACGGACACCTGAGCTGGAGCTGCCCTCCCGAGGAGCAAGAAAAAAGGACCAACGCTGCTCGCCAACCCTTTGCGGTTGCCCCGCTCTCCCAAAAAGGACGGGCCTGAGCCTCGCATCGGTCCGCTGGCAACCACGAGGCGCGGATCAATGCTTGCACTAAGTCGGGCGTGTCCCCCTACGGGGGGGTTTTCGACGAAAAATACAAAAAAATACCCCCAAAATGCTCAAAAGATGTCCAAAGATAGCAAAAAAAATGTCCCCTGGCTATTTTTTGACTATTTCTGAATATTCCCCCTGTAGAGGGACGGGCCCGACTTAATGCTTGCACCGACTCTATTGTCCCATGTCTCTTGCGCATCCGCACGACGTACGCTTCCACTGGGTGCCGGGTGGCGGCCTCTTTTCTCTCCAGACCCGCGCGCTTCGGACCCCAGCCTCCATGCTGGTGTGCCATGCCGCCGCGCGAACTGGAGAGCCGAAGACCTGCTCACCCGCGGGCGCGGGAGGCAGGCGAGGGCTGGGGCGGACCAGCCTTCGCGAAGAAAGATTCGTGGTGTGCCGCGGTTCAGTGGTATCCGTGTGGTGCACAGGGGAACCTGAGGAGGAGGAGGAGGAGGAGGAGGAGGAGGAGGAGGAGGAGGAGGAGGAGGGCGACGAAGTGGAGGGGGACGAGAAGGAGGAGGAGGATGAGGAGGAGGGGGAGGAGGACGGGCAACAGCGGCAGGTCCGCACGACGACCCACGCCGTCGCGAGCCAGCTAAATCCCGCCGGCCTTCGCCGGAGGGAACGGCCCCCACTTCTGCCGCACAAAGTGCTCAGGGCCGCGCCCGGTCAAGGCGGCAGCTGCCTTCGGGCGTTGCTTCAGAGGGGGGCAAGAAAGGGAAGGGGGAGAACCGCGCACCTTTCGTGCCCCTCTTGAGCCCCAGAGGGCCCCGTGTCGGCCATTTTTGGGCACAAGAGGTGCACTTTTCTTCACCCCTTCATGTATCATCCCCCCCATGACGCGACGCCCGATGCCTGTCCCACGGATTCGCGCCGGGGAACTGCGACATGGCCCGCCCGACTAACTCTGCCGTTGACGCGGTCGGCGCCTCAGGTAGGGTTTCCCTGTAGTCGGCCAGCCAGTCGATGTCGGCACGCAGGCCGTCCATGGTCGGCTTGTCCAGGAAGACGATACAGAGCACGACCACTGGAAGCAATGCTGCGCCGAAGACGACGACCGGGGGCACCAGGAGCTGCGAGAGAACGCGATCCGCCACCTTGAACGCCTGCAAGATAGGGGCCACCAAGAGGCCGATGACGCGCCACGGCGCCTCGGCGATATCGACGGCCCGCTTGATCAGGCCAGTCGTGGGGCAGATCCGGAAGAAGCTGATGCCACGACCGAGCCCCAGTGGATCTCGAGGAAGAGATAACGGCATAAAAACAAAACTTTCAGAGGTCCGCGCTGACTTCTTGGATCGGCGCTGGCCCCCCCTCTCTGGCGTCCAAAGGGCTTCAGCACCCATCCGAGAAATCCGCGCGGACCTCCGGGAACTGTCAGTTTTATGCCACCTTCTGTTCTCCGAGGATCGCCGTTCACCTCGACGTGCCACTCCACCCCGACGGTCCGCCGCGCGAGGTCCTCCGAGATGCCATCGACCACGACCCGCACGTCTGGCGGGGGCAGCCCCGCGGCCTTGCAGGCCCGGTACCCGAGGAAGACTGGGTGCGACTGGATGAGCTTCCGGAAGTCCTCGCGCGACTCCACGATGGTAGAGCTGCCGAGGAGCAGGTCCTTTGTGGCGGCGCGCACAAGGGGGTAATGGGGGAGGGGGGACGGGTTCTTAGAAGGAGGCTGCTTCTTAGAAGGCGCCGGCCCTGTATTTATAGATAAGGCCCTGCGCCTTTTCAGAAGCAGGGCGCTTCTAAGAAGCCTTCCCCCCTACCCCTACCCCCTTCTGCGCGGGCCGACCTCTAGACGACGAAAACGAAAACGACTCTGCAGTCGTCGCTGGGCGAACTTGCAAGGGCGGCAGGGGCGCCAAAGGCGCTGGCTTTCGGGAAGGTCGGCTTGCTGAATACGTGCGAATAGTTGAAGAAGAACGTTGGCCAGCGTGGACACTAAACAGTATACTGCTAGCAATCTATGTGGTGATATCTAGGTTGTGCAATATATCTGGTGCAGTGTGTCGATGTTGTGCAGGCAATCCACGTGGTGCAATCTATGCGGCTCAATCTATGTTGTACACGCTGCGTGGTGCAGTCTATCTTGTGCACCCTATGTGGTGCAATGTACGTTGTGCAATCCATTTGGTGCAGTGTATGCTGTGCAATCTATATTGTGCAAGCTATGTGGTGCAATCTATGTGGTGCACTCTATACTGTGCAAATCCGTGCAATATGTGCGGTGCAATCTATGTGTGGCAATTCGCCTTGCCGAACTTGAAGTTGTCGGCTCCACTGCTCGCGCAATCATCCCACCCACCCACCCGCAACTTGGTTCGCAAAGCCCATGCAGAAACGATTGCGATGAGTGCTTTGTGTTGGCTGGAGCTTCTCTGCGGCCGCACTGACCCGCGCATGCTCGCGCCCGCAGCGCCCAGGCACTTTGGCGCGACCGACGCGAAAGCGGTGGCGCTGACCGCTCGGCACATCCCAGCGGGCACTTCAGTGCGAGCGGGCGGCTTGAGCGGGCGCGGTGTCATGGCAACGTCGACAGCGGTAGACACGATGATGACCGTAGCGATGCTGGTGGCGATGCTGACAACGACGACGGGGCAGTCAGTGACGGCACCGATGCTGATAGCGCCGACGACGATGACGGCGTCTTCGCGTCGGTGATGAAGGTTTTGGAAGGAGATCGACATGCGCGCGAGACTGGCCCGCATGGTATTATTTGACGCGGATCGTGCCACCCCACCACGCGCGCGAAGGCTTTCGAACAATTTCGACATGCGCGCACGAAGCCTGTTTGGTAGCATATTCTGAACATGATGAAAACACCCAAGTTTCTTCGATGAATCCGCAAGAGCGCGCAAGTTGGGAACATCAGTGTTGCGAAACCATGTGTTGTGTCTTAATCTGCTTTTTGGGACACTCGAGTTTACAATCCGCGGAATTGACGGTTTTGGAGAGATTTCGGTATACGCACGCGACGACGCGCGCGTGTGCACCTCGTCCTATTTTTGCAACAAGGTTTTTTGAACACTTATGATCTCGATAAACGAATGCGCGCGCATATAAAAAATTACAGAAAAGGATGGTACGAATTCATATTCAACATGGGCGATTGGGGCAGAGCCGTAAATTGCAATACGGAAAAAAGGGAACCGATAATCCGGGTGAGGGATAATCTGTTACAGGGCCAGCGAGCGTCGCCAAGGATGGGCCGAAGGGGCAAGGATGCAAGCGTACCTTCGGGAAAATTGCCCATCCTTACTACGCGGGTTGACTGTATAGGGCGGCGACGAAGCGGCGACGGCAAACATCTAGCTGCCAAACCGGCCCTACGGCCCAGACGACGGGCGGCGACGAGGCGGCGACGGCGACAACCTAGCCGCCAGACTGGCCACACGGCCCGGTTCCTTAGAAGGCAGCTGAGAAACCTTAAGTGCAAGCAACGTTTGGGAAATACAATCAACCCGCGGAGTAAGGATGCACGATAAGGATGCAAGGGGTAAGCGAGGTTGGCCACCGAGAGTCGCCAAGGATGGGCCGAAGGGGCAAGGATGCAAGGGCATCCTTGGGAAAGTTGCCCATCCTTGCTGCGCGGGTTGACTGTAGTGAGTATGAGTCGGCGTCGAATGTGTTTCGTGTGCTCGTCCTCAAAGTTCTGCTGCTTCTCAGAGGACGGAACAGAACAGGTCTTGCGCGAGATGGCGCAGCGACCTTGCGCGGCGGCTTCCGCGGGCCGACTGCGCGGCACGGCACCTTTGGAGACGGGGGCTCTTGCGCGCGACCTCACGCGGGAAGCTGACGCGCCAGCATCGGCGACAACGACCCCGTTATTCTGCGTCGCTCAAGGGGTGTCCAAGTCGATGGGGGCGGGGGATCGCGCCGCATCGCCGACGCATCGTCGATGCATTGGCCACGTCGGCGCGGAGGAAATCGGGCTCCGCATCGAGCCGCCTCGCCGATGCATCGGATTTGCGGCGCGACCCACCGACCCCATCTACTCGGAACCCATCTGATGAGGCCTAGATTTAGGTCGTGCGTGTCCCCCTACAGACGGTGGGCGAAACATTCAAACTACCCAAAACACACGATGCAATAATCAAAAACAGATACAACAAAAAACATGCCCGAACTACTTCTTTGACTACTCCTGAAAACTCCTCCTGCAGAGGGACAGGCCCGACTCGAGCCCGAGCAGATCCTCGTAGACCACGTCCTCCACGAAGCACGCCGCGGTGCCGTTGGCGTCGCAGCGGTTGAACATGTCGTAGAGCTGCTCCACCACGCGGCCGATCGAGCGCGCCTCTCTCTGAGAGGCGGGCCCTGTGGCGCCAGCGGCCGCCGCCGGCTCGGCGCGGGCATCCCCGCGGCCGCGCGCGGCCCCGGGGTCCGCCGGCCGGGCACGGCCAGGGTCCCACGCCGGGCGCAGGGCGCCGAACTCCTGGGTGCCCTCACTGGCCATCGCTCGGACCTCCATTCCGTGTGTTTTTTCCTGCTTCCTGCGTGGTTTTTTCGCCAAATGATCAAGGATGCTCCGCGATGGTCCTCGCCGCAGGAAAAAAATGCACACGTCCGAGCGACGCCAAGCTCAGATCCTGGCGCTGCCATGCTTCACAGCGGGCGTGGCCGCCCGGTTTCGGGCCCTGGGACCTTCGCGCGTCGATCGGGCTCGAGCAAAAGGTGCAGGACGGCGGGGGTCTGGGGCTCCTGGTGGCGTCTGCCTGCGGTGCTGCAGCTGCTGCTGCAGCGCCAGATCTGGGGCCAGAGCGAGGATGCTGCCGTGAACGGACTGGCGCAGGGTACCCCCCAGGCGCGAGGCGTGGTGGCCGATCCAACCACCGCCTGGGGACTGGCGTCCTGGTGCCCGCGGGGGACATGCATAGGTTGTGCTCCCCCGGGGACCCGAATGTACCCCTACCGATAGGACCACCTTACAGGTGACGAGGAAGTCGGGGGGGTGGGAGGGGGGAGGCGGTCGAGGTGCGAGGACTCCCACATGCCGTCACCAAAGAGTGCGCGGGCAAATAAATACCACCTACTTCTGGGTCTATCTATCGACCTCTCTATCGGGTCAACCGTCGGGGCAATCATCGGGACAACCATCGGGACAACCATCGGGAGAACCATCGGGAGAACCACCGGGGCCAACCATCGGGAGAACCATCGGGAGAACCATCGGGAGAACTATCGGGAGAACTATCGGGAGAACCATCGGGAGAACCATCGGGAGAACCATCGGGAGAACCATCGGGAAAACCATCGGGAGAACCATCGAGACAACCATCGGGACAACCATCGGGACAACCATCGGGACAACCATCGGGACAGCCATCGGGACAGCCATCGGGACAACCATCGGGACAACCATCGGGACAGCCATCGGGACAGCCATCGGGACAACCATGGGGGGCCGCGTCCGGCCGGGGGGGGGCGGGCGACCTTTTGGGCTCCATGTGGCCTCTACCGCTGCAGGAGCTCGCGCAGCTTCGCCTCGCCTGCACGCGCGACACGAACCAAAACCGAAACCGACTTCCCGGTGGGGGTCACTTCCGTTCACACCCCCCATTCTCCGATTATCATTAGGTCCGGCCTGTCCCCCTACAGGCGGGCTTTGGGCGAACAATTGGAACTACGCAAAAAAAACCAAACACATATTCACAAATAGTCAAAAAAATAGTCCCCAAACTTTGTGTGGAGTATTTTTGAATATTCCCCCTGTAGAGGGACAGGCCCGACTTAAGATTATCACGACTTGCTTCTTGCTCCCCCGATCCTGCACCCGCTGGCGGCCCACACCGCCGGACGCCGGCGCGTGGGCGGCCGACAGGTGCCCAGGCGCGCGCGCTCGGTCACCGCCCGGAGCCAGCGCGCCAGGGCGCTCCAGGTCCCTCGCCATGGGGGGAACGGGCTCTGAGGGAAGGGGGTCCCGAGGGTTTTGTGCCGTTTTTTCGGGAGCGGCCAAGAGGGGGGTGTCCAAGAGGGGGGGGTGCAAATCATGACCGGCGGCATGTGCGCGGCCCAGCGGGGGGGCCAGGGACGTAATGAAATAAGAAGAGGCGCCATGAAATCTGGGGAACTATCATGACCCCCGCCATGATATCCACCTCCCCCTAGTCATCACCCCCCTCTTTTCCGCCCCCGATTTTTGGGTCCCTGGGGCCCCTCCCTCCACGGGCCCGGGACTGTCAGAAACCGACTCGTCAGGATGAACAACTCGTCCTTGGGGAAGGCCCCAGGGTCCAGGACCCGTTTCCTCAAAGCTGAGCCTCCCCTTCCTATACGCCACGAAAGCATGTACACAAACACCCGCCGACGAGTCTTCCCTGTGCCTTCCAGAGAGGGTGGCGGTGTCTCAATTTTGTACGCCGCCCTCCCAGCCCACAGTCCACTCGAGGGTGTCTGAGTCTACTTTTTGTGGCGGATCCTAGCGCGATGTGTCGCCGATTCCAGCTCTACGCTCGGGCGTTGCTGGAAGGTCCCCTGGCCCAAGAGGCGCCCCCAGGATGTCCATGGAGGCCCCCAAGGGCCTCCAGAGCAACCCTCGCGAGGCCCAGAGGGCCCCAGGGGCTCAGGAGGAGGAAGCGGAGGAGGAGGAGGAGGAGGAGGAGGAGGAGGAGGAGGAGGAGGGAGGAGGAGGAGGAGGAGGGAGGAGGAGGAGGAGGAGGAGGAGGAGGAAGGAGGAGGAGGAGGAGGAAAAGGAGGAGGAGGAGGAGGAGGAGGAGGAGGAGGAGGAGAGGAGGACTCCAGAGCAACCCTCGCGAGGCCCAGAGGGCCCCAGGGGCTCAGGAGGAGGAGGAGGAGGCGGAGGAGGAGAAGGAGGAGGAGGAGGCGGAGGAGGAGGAGGAGGAGGCGGAGGAGGAGGAGGAGGAGAGGGGAGGAGGAGAGGGGGCACCTTGGGCCAGGGGGCAGCTTGCAGCAACCCCCGATCTGTGCGTGGACGGCTCCGCGGCGGCCCGCAGCGGCGCGGCGCAGGGGCCGCCCCGCGCGGCGGAGCCGCGGGGCCGCGCGCCGCAGCGGAGCCCCGGCGCCGAGGCCACCTGCCGCCCCGTGCCGCGGCGGCCGCGGCCGCCCGCCCAGGCAGCAGGCCCTTGCCGAGGCCACGTAGACATCGGGGGCTGCTCAGAAGGCGCCTCCTGGCCCAAGGTGCCCCCAGCTCTCCCATCGATTTTGGAGACCTCCTCCTCCTCCTCGTCCTCCTCCTGTGCCTTCTCCTCCTCCTCCTTCTCCTGTGCCTCCTCCTCCTCCTCCTCCTCCTCCTCCTCCTCCTCCTCCTCCTCCTCCTCCTCCTGTGCCTCATCCTTCTTCTCCTCCTCCTGGGGCTCGTGAGGAGTGCTCTGGAGGCTGTTGGGGGCCTCCTTGGACATCCTGGGGGGACCTTGGGCCAGGGGCACTTCTGGCAATACCCGAACGTACATCGTGGGCGGCGCCGTCCTCGGTGTCGTCGTCGTCGTCGTCGTCGTCGTCGTCGTCGTCGGCCGCGTAACTCGTTGGCGATAACACAGGGACCGACCTACAGTCAACCCGGATCATAAGGACGCGCGATAAGGATGCAAGGGCCTTGGAAGCACATGTCGAGGCTTTTCGAGCGCGGCGCGGCCAACGACAGTGGCCGAGGATGGACCGAGGAGGCAAGGATGCAAGGGTACCCTAAGGAAGGTTGCCCATCCCTACTATGCGGGCTGACTGTAAATATTGGTTTTCGTCTTTCGTTTCGATTCCGCTTTCCCTAGTTTTACCTCCAATCCGCCCTTGCTGCAACACGACATCGTAACGAAGGCGGCCACAAGATCGCCAAAACACCGTTCGGGTCGACCCCTGCGAAAGAAAACCAGATCTATCGACTGCACGCAACAGTGACCCCAGGCAAGATGGACCTCTGGCGCGCGGCTGCAAGGGGCCGCCGTCACGCCAACTGCGAACGCGCAGGCCAGCCCTGGGGGGAACCCTGTGCGCCCGCGCCAAGAGGTCACTCTGGCGAGGAGGAGGAGGAGGAGGAGTTAATAATAATAAGCGGCGTGGAGGCGCGCAGAGTTCTCGACTTCAGCTGTCTTCTCGCGGGGGCGGCGGCACAGCGGCCTAACATCTGAAATATGGAAAGAAACTGCTAACCAGTTTCACGATACGGAAAACGAGACAAAGCTGAATCACTACACGAATTTTGAACTCGGCGGCCAGCCGAAGCTGGGAAAGTCCAGGAAGGCACTGGGAGGGTCCAAGGTAGGCCCCACCAGGCCGAACACAGGCCATGGGGACAGGCCCCTCCCAGGCCCATCAGGATCGATGTGATGTAGGAATGTACGAGGTGCAGAACAGGGCCCCAGCCACCCCTCGATCTCCTGAAATGGGCTGGAGGAGGAGGAGGAGGAGGAGGAGGAGGAGGAGGAGGAGGAGGAGGAGGAGGAGGAGCATCCGCCGCCTCGCGGGCCGGGTCCCTGGCCTGCGACCCCGCGGATATGGGACGTTCTTGTTCGCGGATGTCCCGCGCGGAACAGTCGAGCCCCTCCGAGGTGCGCCCAAGAGAGAGCTGCGGCCGTGGGGCGCAGCGTCCTCCCGCCTTCGTCCTCCCCAGCCGGCCTTTCCAAAGCCCTGGTCTGCAGCGTCCTCGTTTCGCTGGCCACATTCGGGTCGGGCGAAAGGGGGGGATAGCAAAGAGGGGGTTTGAGAATCAGCTCACGTAGCAGATTTTCCTGGCGCCTCCCGGCGCCAGAGGCGGCTATGTATCGAGGAATGGGCCCCTCGGTGAGGCCGAAACCAGCTGCATGCAGCAAATTTCGTACCCCCCCCTTTCCCAACCCCCCCCTTTCGCCCGGCCCGACACATGCAGGGGTGACCCCGCGCATGCGTGACCTCTGGCACGCGGCCTGCTGGAGCAGCGGGGGGCCAGATCCAAGCGCGCAGGCCACCGCTGGGGGCTGCCCGGGTGGGCCCGCACCAAAAGGTCACTCTGACGAAGGGTCACTCCTACGGTCAAGTAGCCACAGATAGCGTGCACGACCGCGCTCGAGGGACAACAAATTACTCAAACACGTACACGCTATACGCCGACTCTCCAGCGTAATTCCTTTTCCGATGGAAATGCCACAAAACATCGGACGTCGTGCGGGCACCGTATACGTTTTCTACGTCTCAGAGCGGTCCTGCACGCTATACGTTTTTGCACCAGACCCTCACGCTGCACGCTATACGAGTACTATTCGGCTCACCTCTCCACTCCGTCCCTACCCCCCGCTCGTCTCCTCTCCCCTTCCTCCTCTCTCCCCTCCCTATCCCCTGCCTCCTCTCCCCATCCATCCCCGATTTGCCCTTGGTATCACTTCGGCTGCCCCTACGTACCTAGGAGGAGGAGGAGCAGGAGGAGGAGGAGGAGCAGGAGGAGGAGGAGGAGGAGGAGGAGGAGGAGGAGGAGGAGGAGGAGGAGGAGGAGGGGAGGACGAGGAGGAGGGGGAGGAAGAGGAGGAGGGGGAGGGGGAGGAGGGGGGGGAGGGAGGAGGAAGAGAGGAGAGGAGGAGGAGGAGGAGGAGAGGAGGAGGAGGAGGAGGAGAGGGAAGAGGAGGCGGAGAAGGAAGAGGAGGAGGAGGAGGAGGAGGAGGAGGAGGCGGAGGAGGAGGAGGAGGAGGCGGAGGAGGAGGAGGAGGAGGAGGAGGAGGAGGAGGAGTAGGAGAAGGAGGAGGAGGCAGAAGTGGCTCGGGCCGGTGGAGGCCGAAAGGCAGAAAAAAAACCTGCTGAAAACACGGGTGCACGCTAAGCGTTGTTTGCCTGGCACTCTAAACGCTTTTTCTAGCGACTTCCGACGTGCACGCTAAACGCCCATAGAAATGCGTATAGGTTGCACGCAATGTTTGAAGTGCACTCTATATACGACCCCCGTTCAGATTGCACTTCAAAGCCCCCTTGTGCAATCTGTCTGTGGCTACTTGACCGTACGCGTAGCCGATCAGGGGCCGAACTCGGAGGATGCCTACGACCAACTGGACCCCAGCGGGGGTGTCCGATAGCCCAGCGTCGTGGTCGCAGACTGTTCATCCTGAGACCGACGTCGCGCAAACAACATACAATATCATAATATCGCGAGGAATCACTGCCTGAGCCCTAGACCCCAATTCTGCGCGCCAATTTTCGAACCGGATCGATCTGTGAGGGTCCCGGGCAACGAGCCCTAAACTGGGAGAAAACGCTCAGCTCGCAAAGATTGAGACGTCAGTGGTCGCAGACTGTTTTCAAGAGCCCTGAAGCGGCGATGCATCGGCGACGTCGGCGATGCCTCGGCGCCGTTGGCGTGGAGAAGATCGGGCTCCACATTGAGCCGCATCGCCGCTGCATCGGCGACGCGGCAGCATCCATCGACCCAATCTGCTCGGACCCCGTCTGGGCGGCCTGGACTCCAGCTGGCATGCTCGAACTCCTGGATTGCAGTGTCCTGGGTTTCAAGGCGGCGCCGAACGCGCCGCAAGGGGGCTCAAGCGCCGATCCAAGAAATCCGCGTGGACCTCCGAAAGCTCATGTTCGTGCGAATTTCTGGTCCTCGACGAACGAACCCCAGCGGGGGTGTCCAATATCCTGTCGCCCTGCTTCCAAAGGCCCTGAAGCCCTGCCTCGTCGTGGTCGCAGGACGGGGATCAGGGGGAGGAGGGGGGAGAAGGAGGAACAAGGAGGGGGAGTGGGAGGACTCGGAAAGATGGGGAAAAAAGAGGAAGCAGGGGAGAAGAAGCGGAGGAGGCGAGAGAAGATGAGAGAAGAACACCCGGACCCCCGACGTCGTGGACCCCTTCCCTGGGACCGGTTCTTTTCATCCTGACTCGCCTCTTGTCGGTCCCAGGGCCCGGGAAGGGCCCCTGGAGGCCAGACGTAGCGCAACGCCTCCCAGCACGTCTTCGTGCTCCACGCGAAGCGGCCTGCGCGCCCCGTCGTGGCCGCAGACTGCGTCACGAGGCCCTCCCACCCTGCCCGTGGTGCGGGCCTCCGGGCCCCACGGCGCAGGCGCTGCGCCCCACGCCGCAGAGGCCGAGGCCGAGGCAGAGCGCCAGCGCCGCTCGGGCGCCGCCGCGCGGCGCGCCGCACGGGAGCCGCGGGCGCCCCGTGAGCTGCGGCGGGCCCGCCGCGGCCGCGCCGCGCCGCCCGCGCATCGGGGGCCGCGGGCATCCGCTGGACCCAGACCCTCGCGCGCCGTGCAGAAAGCCACGACGGGAAGCTCCCTCGCTCTCGCCAGCCTTCGGGGGCCCTTCCCGGGCCCCAGGGCCCTCTCGCGCCGTGCCAGGAGCCTCGACGGGGACTTTTTCGCTGCCTTGAGCCCCGGGGGCCCTTCCTGGGCCCCAGGACCGTCGAAAAACGACTCAGGGTGAAGCACCGGTCCTGGGGAGGTGTGCCTCACTTCCCTCTTCGCGCTGCGCGAAGCGCGAAGAAGTTCGCACTCTCGCGCCGACCCCCCAGGGGAGGGGGAGGAGGAGGAGAGGAGGAGGA